ATTATTATTATTATTATTATTATTATTATTATTATTATTATTATTATTATTATTATTATTATTATTATTATTATTATTATTATTATTATTATTATTATTATTATTATTATTATTATTATTATTATTATTATTATTATTATTATTATTATTATTATTATTATTATTATTATTATTATTATTATTATTATTATTATTATTATTATTATTATTATTATTATTATTATTATTATTATTATTATTATTATTATTATTATTATTATTATTATTATTATTATTATTATTATTATTATTATTATTATTATTATTATTATTATTATTATTATTATTATTATTATTATTATTATTATTATTATTATTATTATTATTATTAAATCCACCATTTCTGCTCTTGTTAAAGTTGTTGAGTATATTACAGAAGGCATTGAGCAACGGACTAATGTACATGCTACTATGGTTGACTTATCAAAAGCCTTCGATTGTGTCGATAAAGAAATATTAATAAAAAAAATGGAATATTATGGTTTCCGTGACATAGAACTAAAGTTATTCGCTACTTATCTTGAGAACCGTAGACAGTATGTTAGCTTTAAAAACCATAATTCTAAACTTAAGCAAGTAAAAAATGGAGTCCCGCAGGGATCTGTGTTAGGGCCAATTTTATTCTTGATATACATAAATGATTTACCAACTTCAGTTCACAAGCTCAGTAATGTAGTTTTATTTGCGGATGACACCACTTTCCTAACCAAGAGTGGGGTAGATATTAGCCAAGAAACCTTAGATTTGGCAATGACCTGGTTTGCATCAAATGGATTAAAATTAAATATTAATAAAACACAGAATATGTTGTTTAGTTCAGATAAATTTGAAAAAAAATCAGAACCTGTAAAGTTATTAGGCATAACATTTGATAGCGGATTAAATTGGTCTCAACAAATCAATGGCCTCCGTTCAAAGTTATCTAGTCAAATATATGCAATGCGGCAACTAAGGTCATGCATAAAATGCAACAATGTAATGAGATCAATTTATTTCGCAATAATTCACAGTCATCTAACGTATGGTGTAGTACTGTGGGGCTCGTCATCTAGTCTGCACAAAGTCTTTACTTTACAAAAGACTGCCGTACGTATTATAGATGGTGCACATCGACGTACTCATTGTAAGGAAATCTTTAAAAAATACAAAATATTGCCGTTACCATGTATTTATATTTTTGAAACACTAATTAGCATTTTTCGTAGCATGGCCAACTTTAACAGTCATTCAGACATACACCACTATAATACAAGGAGAGCAGGCAATTTAGTTCCACAGTACTCCAGAATCTGCGTAACGGAAAACAACAAATTACATATAAATTTTTTTAACAAATTAAACATTATATTCAAGGGTAAAAATATCAAAACGATGAAATTTAACTCATTCTATACATTATCTAAGAACTTCTTATTAGAACATTGTTTCTATTCTGTAGAAGAATTTTTAAATTTTACCTAAATGTTTAATATACTGTTTTACCCTCTGTGTATTGTATTTTATGCTCATATTTTTTAGGATTTTTGTGTTTTTACGTTTTAAGATTTTTATATTTAAACGTTCTACATTTTAAGATTTTACATTTTACCATTTCTACATTTTTACTTTTTGACATGTTTACATTTACACATTTTTACATTTATCTGTTATACTGTTTTATTTTCATGTTTCTACTTGTATTCTACATATTGTATCTTTATTATTTTAAATTTTTTCTATATTATAAGGACTATAAATGTACTATCTAGTATGTAACTGGTCAATAAACGCTATTCTATTCTATTATTATTATTATTATTATTATTATTATTATTATTATTATTATTATTATTATTATTATTATTATTATTATTATTATTATTATTATTATTATTATTATTATTATTATTATTATTATTATTATTATTATTATTATTATTATTATTTTGATTTTTCTCAGCTATTTGCCGGTTGCAATAGGCATAGTTAAAGAAGAAATTCATCTTATTCCAACACGCCCAAAAATTTCCTCACTATATGGCAGGTCTGTAGGATGGCTGCTTTTTGTAGATGTGCTATAATGGGAGGTATATTTAGTTTTTCTAGTTGTTTTGAAAGGTTAATGGAGACAATTCCTGTAACGGAAACTACTATTGGGATTATTTGTACCCTCTTCATGCCCCAAACATGTTTTATTTCTATGGCAAGATTTTCATATTTTGTAGTTTTTTCCAATTCTGTTTTCAGAACGTTATGGCTCAGTGGGCAAGCAATGTCTATAATAAATGCTTCTTTATTTTCTTTCCCGATAATGACGATATCAGGTCGGTTGTAGTCCACTGTTCGGTCAGTAAGTATCGGTCGATCCCAATATAAAATGTTTTCCCTTGATTCTAAAATCGGCTCTGGATTATACCGATAGTAAGGTGGAGGATTTTTAGTTAGGTTTAGTTTTTGCGCTAACTGGGAATGTATTATTTTGGCTACCTGATTATGTCTTCCTAGGTAGGCACTACTCGATAATGCGGAACATCCAGCCGTTATGTGTTCTATTGTTTCGTTAGGTACACGGCATTTTCTGCATACATCTTCCACATTTGCTTTCAAGATATGCTTTTCATAGTTTCGCGTACGGATTACCTGATCTTGAATGGCTATTAAAAATCCCTCGGTATCCGGGTATAGTTGTCCTTTTATTAGCCAAGTTAGCGAAAGTTCTTTACTAATGTTTTGTTGTATCAGTGCAGCTGGGTATTTTCCGTGTAAAACTTTTTCTCTCCATGATGTTCTTATCGATTGGTTACTAATTGGTGCTCTATGTTCTTCTTGTTCCGATAGATTTAGAGGTGTATATTTATTATCATGTGTCACAATAGATCTTAATAATGGGCACTCTGCTTTGCTAAAATATTCCTTCATTTTCTGCTCTTTTTCTTTGCATAGCTTTTCTATACAAATAAACCCACGTCCTCCTTCTCTTCTGGGTAGATGTGTTCGCTCAACGGCAGATCTGGGATGATGATATCTAAATTTAGTTAGAAGTCTGCGTGTTAGACGGTCTAGCTCTTTCAAATCAGTGGTGGTATATTTTAAAATCCCAAAAGAGTAAGTCAGTACAGATATTGCCCAGGTATTGACAGCTATAGTAAGATTTTTAGAGTTTAGTTTAGTGTTAAGTAGCTTGGTAAGTCTCTTTTTATATTTTTCTTTATATTCTTTTTTTCTATTGCTATGATCTATTGAGCCATGTTGCTCTATTCCTAGGTATTTGTACGTTTCTTCTGGAGGTAGAGGTTGAATTTCTCTTGCTGCGTTTTCATACTGTATGTGACCCTTGATAAATGTCAATGTAGCGCATTTCTCTAATCCAAATGTCATTTTAATATCATCACTAAACTTTTTAGCTGTTTGGATTAATATATTTAGGTGCTGTTTATTTTCCGCATACAGTTTTATATCGTCGCATACAGTTTTATATCGTCAACGAACATTAAGTGGCTTAGCTTGGTGTTACTCTGAATAGATGGGCGGTAGCCACAGTTAGTATTACGTAGTAGGGACGATAGTGGATTTAGAGCCAAGATAAACCATAATGGACTAAGCGAATCACCTTGAAATATCCCTCTATTTATTTGGACTTGCCCTACTTTTTCTCCGTTAACATTTAAATTGGTTCTCCACTGTTTCATTAAGAAACTTAGTAATAATCTAATGTTAGGGTCAATTTTGTATATTTCTAAGGTTTTTTCGAGCCAATCATGAGGCACAGAATCAAAGGCTTTGGCATAGTCAATATAGCACACACTTAGATTACGTTTTTTAACCCTTGCTTGATTAGATATAATGGAGTCAAGTATAATCTGTTCTTTACAGCCTAAGCTACCCACTATGCATCCTTTCTGTTCTGGGGCTATTATAGAATGGTAGTTGCAATGCTCGTAGATTTTGCAATATAATACCGATGTTAGCAGCTTATACATTACTGATAGACATGTTATCGGTCGGTAGTTTTTTGGATCTTCTTTGTCTCCCTTCTTGTGTATAAGATAGGTGTTACCTTCTGTAAGATATGTAGGTACCTGTGTAGGATCTTCCAGTATGTTTTGATAACATTTTGTTAATATCGGTGGTAAACAAGGAAATGCTTTAAGCCAAAAATTGTGAATTTGATCCGGACCAGGGCTTTTCCAGTTTGAAAGCTTATTTAGCGATGCCTTGATATCAGTTTCACTTATGCATAGTCTGGCCATTTCGGGTACGTTTTCCATTTCTTTTTCCACTTGTTTTAACCACTTTGTGTTTTGGTTGTGGTTGGTTGGGTTTGACCATATTTTGCTCCAATACTCTCGAAATGCCTCGTTGTTTATTTTTGTGTTTTCCTTATTTTCTATTTTTTGTTCTAGTGTGCGGTAAAATAATTTTTGATTTTTCTGAAAATTTCGGTTTTGTTCCTTTCTCTTAGTGGTGGTGTTGTATCTTCTTAATCGAGCTCCTTTTATTTTTAACTTTTGTCGCAGTTCATCCCGGAGCTCTATCAATTCTGTTTCCTTGATAGTAATGCTTTTCTCAATGTTAGAGTTGTCTAATAACTTTTGAAGTTTCGCTAAGAGTTTGTGATTTCTGTTACCTTGTAAATATTCTGATATGGTATCGACTTGGCTTCTAAGTTTGTCTATGGCTATTTTTAATCGCTTTCTCCACGGTATTTCTGGAGTAGATTTTTGATTTAATTTGGGTTTTGGTATATATGGGATTTGTCCGTTAAGTTCTATGACTGAAATAGCTGCTGTGTAGATGCCTGTATTTATTCTTTGTAAATTGTTCTCGTTTAAAAATTTACAGTTTAATGTAATATTTATTTGTTTTATTATTGAGTTTGTGTTTTTGTTTTCAATCAGTTTTGGTAGGCAAGGTCGATTTCGGGGATTTGCGTTTTCAAACAGCTCTAAATTTTCTTCAAATTTTTGATTTATTTTGTGGACTTGCTCTTGATGTTCTGTTTCTGGTAATTCTTCATGCATGTTAGTTTGGACACTTTCTATTATTTGCTGGTTATATATTTGATTGCCAGCTTCACGGCGCAGCTCATCTATATCTAATACTGATAAAAGTTTTCTAGAGTATATAGCACGCAGTCTATCGGCCGCATTTTGCTCAGATAGTTCTAAGTTTGGGTACAGCTTAGTAAATTCCCGATGTAATTTTTGTCTCCAGCCTGGAAGCGGATCGTCTCTACAGTCATTAATTAGCAGAAATGTTTTAACTATTTCTTGGTTCATTTCTCTGCTCCATTTTAATCGACGATTCTTGGTGACATTAAGTTCTTCAGCAGCAATCCTATTGACAAGTGTGTCTGGTTGCGAGCTTTCAGAATTTATATGGTGGTCCGCTTCGTTGTTGTTTTCTACATTGTTGCGGGGTGGAGTTCGCATGATGACGACCTGGGACGCCTCACCCCTACGCCCCCTGCCGGCCGCGGATCTCGTCATTCGACGTTCCCCGATTACGGCGTTTAAATTTACTTTTGATTCATTATTCTCCATTTCATTGGGTTTTTTGCATTTTTAACCTTCTGCCAGGTGATTTTTGTCTTTAATGTGGAGAGGTTTACTCCTCGAGGATTGGGGGAAAGGAATATCGATATACGATATAGTTGGTAGTGTGGGTCAGTAAAACGGTTGGGATATGCCTTTCTACAGGTAGGTGAATTATTCGAAGAAGTGGACCACACCTACTGTGGGTTGAGGCTACAGACCGTACAGCGTCGCCCAGCATGCTGTAGCAAGGAAAAAGTTTTCCTTGGCCTGACAATTTTATTATTATTATTATTATTATTATTATTATTATTATTATTATTATTATTATTATTAATTATTATTATTATTATTATTATTATTATTATTATTATTATTATTATTATTATTATTATTATTATTATTATTATTATTATTATTATTATTATTATTATTATTATTATTATTATTATTATTATTATTATTATTATTATTATTATTATTATTATTATTATTATTATTATTATTATTATTATTATTATTATTATTATTATTATTATTATTATTATTATTATTATTATTATTATTATTATTATTATTATTATTATTATTATTATTATTATTATTATTATTATTATTATTATTATTATTATTATTATTATTATTATTATTATTATTATTATTATTATTATTATTATTATTATTATTATTATTATTATTATTATTATTATTATTATTATTATTATTATTATTATTATTATTATTATTATTATTATTATTATTATTATTATTATTATTATTATTATTATTATTATTATTATTATTATTATTATTATTATTATTATTATTATTATTATTATTATTATTATTATTATTATTATTATTATTATTATTATTATTATTATTATTATTATTATTATTATTATTATTATTATTATTATTATTATTATTATTATTATTATTATTATTATTATTATTATTATTATTATTATTATTATTATTATTATTATTATTATTATTATTATTATTATTATTATTATTATTATTATTATTATTATTATTATTATTATTATTATTATTATTATTATTATTATTATTATTATTATTATTATTATTATTATTATTATTATTATTATTATTATTATTATTATTATTATTATTATTATTATTATTATTATTATTATTATTATTATTATTATTATTATTATTATTATTATTATTATTATTATTATTATTATTATTATTATTATTATTATTATTATTATTATTATTATTATTATTATTATTATTATTATTATTATTATTATTATTATTATTATTATTATTATTATTATTATTATTATTATTATTATTATTATTATTATTATTATTATTATTATTATTATTATTATTATTATTATTATTATTATTATTATTATTATTATTATTATTATTATTATTATTATTATTATTATTATTATTATTATTATTATTATTATTATTATTATTATTATTATTATTATTATTATTATTATTATTATTATTATTATTATTATTATTATTATTATTATTATTATTATTATTATTATTATTATTATTATTATTATTATTATTATTATTATTATTATTATTATTATTATTATTATTATTATTATTATTATTATTATTATTATTATTATTATTATTATTATTATTATTATTATTATTATTATTATTATTATTATTATTATTATTATTATTATTATTATTATTATTATTATTATTATTATTATTATTATTATTATTATTATTATTATTATTATTATTATTATTATTATTATTATTATTATTATTATTATTATTATTATTATTATTATTATTATTATTATTATTATTATTATTATTATTATTATTATTATTATTATTATTATTATTATTATTATTATTATTATTATTATTATTATTATTATTATTATTATTATTATTATTATTATTATTATTATTATTATTATTATTATTATTATTATTATTATTATTATTATTATTATTATTATTATTATTATTATTATTATTATTATTATTATTATTATTATTATTATTATTATTATTATTATTATTATTATTATTATTATTATTATTATTATTATTATTATTATTATTATTATTATTATTATTATTATTATTATTATTATTATTATTATTATTATTATTATTATTATTATTATTATTATTATTATTATTATTATTATTATTATTATTATTATTATTATTATTATTATTATTATTATTATTATTATTATTATTATTATTATTATTATTATTATTATTATTATTATTATTATTATTATTATTATTATTATTATTATTATTATTATTATTATTATTATTATTATTATTATTATTATTATTATTATTATTATTATTATTATTATTATTATTATTATTATTATTATTATTATTATTATTATTATTATTATTATTATTATTATTATTATTATTATTATTATTATTATTATTATTATTATTATTATTATTATTATTATTATTATTATTATTATTATTATTATTATTATTATTATTATTATTATTATTATTATTATTATTATTATTATTATTATTATTATTATTATTATTATTATTATTATTATTATTATTATTATTATTATTATTATTATTATTATTATTATTATTATTATTATTATTATTATTATTATTATTATTATTATTATTATTATTATTATTATTATTATTATTATTATTATTATTATTATTATTATTATTATTATTATTATTATTATTATTATTATTATTATTATTATTATTATTATTATTATTATTATTATTATTATTATTATTATTATTATTATTATTATTATTATTATTATTATTATTATTATTATTATTATTATTATTATTATTATTATTATTATTATTATTATTATTATTATTATTATTATTATTATTATTATTATTATTATTATTATTATTATTATTATTATTATTAAAGTACAATGGCTACAATGTACGATTTAACGAAAGCCTTTGATTGCGTGCCTACAGAGATCTTGTTACAAAAATTAGAATTTTACGGGATTCGAGGAAGAGAACATAAACTTTTTGCTTCGTATTTAAAAAATAGAGTTCAATACGTTGTCTGCGATAATAAACAGTCAGACATTCTGCCAATATCAAGTGGAGTGCCTCAGGGTTCGATATTGGGACCCATTTTGTTTATTATTTATATAAATGATCTACCAGGAGCTATTAAGGAGTTTTGCATCCTATTCGCTGACGACACCACGATCCTGTCAAATCCCAATGAGATGGATAGTTCTGACGTAATCAGAGACTGGTTCTCAGCAAATCGATTGCAACTAAATAATGCAAAAACCAGTCATTTGTTGTTCAGCTCGGACAAATGGGCGTCAATATCGGATCCTGTAAAATTATTAGGCATACATTTGGATACAAACTTAAACTGGACATCTCATGTAAACAATCTCTGTTCCAAATTGGCGACTCAAATTTTTATTATTCGACAACTGCAATACTGTATGCCTGATCACGTACTACGGTCTATTTACTATGCGCTATTTCACAGTAACCTTTCTTATGGTGTGTTACTGTGGGGTAACTCAGTCAATGTACACAAAGTATTTTCTTTGCAGAAAGCGGTAGTAAGATTAATTAGTAATGCTCCTAAAAACACTCCTTGTCAATCTCTTTTTAAAAAACTGGAAATACTGCCTCTCCCTTGTGTCTATATAATGGAAACATTGATTGAAACACACAAAAATGTAGATAGCTTAAGTCGTCATAGAGATATACACAATTATGACACAAGAAATTGTAAATATTTTGTAATTAATAGATGTAGAATTAAAATGACTAAGAACAACACTCTTAACATTTCTCTGTACAATTATTTTAGAAAATTTTTTATTCATGTAAATTCCCTGGGGTAGTATTCTCGAATCACGAATACCGACATTCGCATACGTGTTTTACAATGTGTCTCACTTTGTTGAACGAAAACCAAGTGAGACCAATCATAAATCTCGCATGCGAATCTATATTCGTGACTCGAGAATACTACCCCTGTGGTGACTATTTTCAAACTCGACAGAATTAATTTCTTTCAAGAGAAATGTCGTACGTCAACGTAAAATCTTAAGAGAAATGAGTACTCTCATATTTTGAAAATAGGTCCCAGATATTCTATTTTATAAATGAATAGTTATCTACTACTATTGTGCAACATGAGTGGTTATGATGGCCATATCGCACGAAGACTAAATTTGAGCACGACGCCGTAGGCGAGGAGTGCTCAATCGTCTGAGTGCGAAGTGGACAATCCACTCGAGTTATACATTATATTTTTCCTACGACCCTCTTACGAAAATTTACAAATAAAAAAAATATTTTAGGTTACGACAAAATAACTAATTTTAAAATAATTTATGCCTTTTAATAATATTTAAAAATAAAATAAACGAAAAAAAAAGATTTATTTAAGTCCCCAGCCGAGGCTCGAACTTGGGTTTCTCGCGAGGAAGTCAGATACTCTCACTACCCATCCTCCGGCATATTTGGGAATTTTTTTTCTTCATAGAGTTTTATTAAAATTATCAAATTATTTATAATTATAGTATAAATAAAAATAGAAATGCTATTACGGTATTGCCCGAAAACAGTACTGAACTTGTATTTTTTTGTTTATTTAAGAAATACATATTATATTGACACTTAAGTACAGAAATCGATTTGGGCGTTGATTCATATGGCCCGACAAATGAAAAAGTGCTTCGTCTGAAAACAATAGATTTTTTAAAAAACTCAGGAGTTTCATACTGTAACGAGAGAATTATGTCACAATATTTCTCTCTACTGCGATAATCTCGAGGATGTAATTGTTGATGTACCTGAATCATATACGAAAATGCACCAAGCACCTTCAGGATTCCTTGCACTGAAGTTCTTTTTATACCAAGTTGCAACGCTGTTCTTGTCTGGCTGACTTTCAGATTTTCTAAAATCTGCTCCAAAACGCGTTCATGGTTATTGTTGTTGTTAACTGTACTGGGACGGTCCGAGTTTCATTTTCGTTGGCACAATACATTACCCGTATTTATGAACTTTTCAATGACCTTTTAAATTATGGCATTACTTGGGGAACCTTTATTAAACCGTTGTGTGAATCAGGGGCGTGCGG